TTCCTATCAGAAAAGGTACTATTGAAGAAAATCGAAGCACTTTTACTGTCCCAAAACGTGATGACAGACACAAAAAAAAAATATAAAAGTATAAAAATATAAAAACATACATCATTGTAAAACCAATACATTCATCGCTCCGCTCAGAATCTAAAATATAAATAAAAATATAAATAAAAATATAAAAACATACATCATTGTAAAACCAATACATTCATCGCTCCGCTCAGAATCTAAAAAAATAAAAAAAAAAATAAAAAAAAAACACACATCATTGTAAAATCAATACATTCATCGTTTCACTCAGAATCTAAAAATAATAATAATAATTTATTAAACTTTATCTATATACATTGTCCATGTATAGGAATTAGGAATTCCCGCGTTGTATATAATTGTATCTTTAATAGTTTAATATCAATGATCTTTATTATAATCAAGTGTCACTTCGAATATGGGTCGTATTATTATTACCACCATATATCGACCTACACAATTTGTATTACTGTTAATACTGTAGTATTTAGTATCTGAACTTTAATGCTGCAGCCTGCAGGTATTTATTTTGTTGCTAGTGTATAAATGTCATAATATTATTAAAAGTATAAGTAATATACGTATAGTATTAATTATTTTGTATAATATGTCTTTTGTGGTGCCAAAAAACAAGGCAAATAAATAAAACTAAATTTCCTTAATTTTAGGATGTTTTAGCAATAGCATTAAAGATAAATTTGAATTATTAATTATTATGAATTATGTTCGGGTAATGAACTGTAAAAAAAAAGTAACAAACAATATTTAATTAAAATTAATTATATTAATTTTATGTTGTATTATATTTTTGTAGGACGTATTAGATAAAGTTTAATAAATTATTATTTTTTTTTTTTTTCGTAGGACATGTTAGAATTATCATTCTTACATTTTTATTTTTTTGTTATAAGTATAATAATTTAGATTTGGATATAAAAATTACAATACTCAATTTTATTATTTACTTGTATTAATAATAATGATTATAATATTTAAATTCACGCGGTAATTATTTAAATGTTATCTTATCACACACGTAGATATCGAATTAATGCATGAACAACAGTGGCTCCGCAACAGTAATACTTGCCACCGAAACTATGGCATTTGTAGGCTCGTTAATATAAACGGACTATCCCAGTATCCCACATTCCCATTTCCCACGATCTTTTACTGACTGTGGTCAATCCACATTGTCAAATGTCAACAAACGCAGAGCCGCAGAAATAGGGTTGCCAACCGGCCGGTATTTTCCCGGCCCGGCCGGTATTTCACATATTTAGACTTAAAAAGCCGGTTGCCGGTATTGACCTATAAAAAGCCGGTATTTTCAAAGTAATAATATTGTAAAATTATAAAAACCCAGTAATTCCACCTGATCGAGAGTTTTGATATTATATATTAATATTTTATCATTTTTATGAAATTGATTATCACATGTTACTGTCAATAAATCGTATACCTATCTTAATGACTTCAGATATCTATCGTCCTTTTTGACATTTTTATGAGTACTATGATTAGTATGTACCTTGTTAGTTGTTCCTATTATGCCGTTCTCGTTGGTGAATATGTGATAGACGATTCATAATAGAGTTTAGTTTCGTTATTCTGTTCGGACTGTTCGGTAGTACCTATTAATTTTACATTGTATATACTTGATTGAAAAATTATACGCATTTTTAAAATGAACGAAAATGAAACGAAAAAAAGAATTCGTAATTGTGTTTTTAACGATGAATGGTTAAAAGATCAAATATTTTCTGATTGGATCGCTAAACACAATAACCCTAATAAAGCACGATGTATATTATGTCAGACAGTTTTTAGTGTTAAGTATGATGGCGTTAAAGCTGTAAAAACACATCAAGAATCAAAAAAACATGAAGAATCCGTCAATTCTATAAATAAATCGTCCACTATAAAAAAGTTTTTTCCTACAAAGAATGATAAAGATGAAGACAAAATAGCAGCCGTTGAACTGAGTAAGTGTTTTCATGTAGTTAAACACCATCATAGCTATCTTTCCAGCGATTGTGGAGTAAAATTAGAGTCGAAACATTTCTCAGATTCAACGATAGCTAATAAAGTCCACCTGGGTAGAACGAAAATGGAAGCTATCGTCAAAAATGTACTATGTCCGTTCGCTATTGAAAAAGCAGTAATAAAACTCAAATGTCCTACTCCTATTCCCTTTTCTATATCTACAGACGCTTCAAATAAGGGAAATAGAAAATTTTTTCCATTAGCGGTTAGGTTATTTAATTTTGAAGACGGAGTGAAAGATTACCTTTTAGACTTTTACGAGGAACCAAACGAATCTTCACAGTCAATTTTTGACACGATTACTTCTGCAATTGAATCTCTTGGCTTAGATATAAAAAATATAACAGCTTTTGGTGCCGATAATGCCTCTGTTAATTATGGAAAACATTGTTCGGTCTTCGAAAAATTAAAAAATAAAAAATCCAATATAATTAAAGCTAATTGTAACTGTCATGTGATTCATAACGCAGCAAAGCATTCCATGAAAGTTATAAAATACGATGTAGAAACGTTGGTATTAAAAGTTTTTAATGAATTTTCTATGAGCTCCAAAAGAGTAGATGAACTTAAAGAATGTTTCGAATTTGTACAACAGGACTATCATAATGTATTGCGACATATTCCGGTGAGATGGCTGAGTTTGTTTAATGCCGTGGACCGATTAATTTTAAATTGGAATGCAATTAAAACTTATTTTATAAAAAAAGGAAAAAATGAATGTGATAAAATCATATGGACATTTATTGAAGATCAGAAAAATGAACTTTCTGAACAGTTAACTTTAAGAGAATGTTACATTTGGTTTGTTCATCATGTGTTGTCCATTTTTCAAAAACATATTTTAATATTAGAAAAAAATAATTTAAACGCTCCAGAAGTCTATGATGTAATGTTAAGTTTAAGATCTCAAATTTTAAATCGTAAAAATGATAATTTCTTTGGAATTGCAGTAACTACACGATTACCTAATCTTACTAGCAAAGAAAACGATGCATTTAAATCTGATGCTCTACATACTTACAAACGTGCATTAGAATACCTCGAAAAATGGTTTGATTATGAAAACTCTCCATTCAAAATGTTTTCGTGTTTGAAATTAAGTGAATTACCTAAATTAACAGATTTACTCGATCTGGCCAAATTAATTAAGGTTCATGTCAATGGAGATGAACTGTATGAAGAGCTTAATTTGATAAAGTTATTACCAAATGATATCCTAAATAACACAGAATTCACTAGTTCGGAAAAATGGGTAAAATTTTTCCAATCATCTACTGCACAATTAAAAAATATTAAACAAATTGTACAGTATGTATTCTCGGTGCCGTGTAGCAATGCATTTGTTGAACGCGTTTTTAGCCACATGAATAGTTTGTGGACAGATGAGCGCAATCGATTAGGAATTGATACAGTTAAAGCCGAACTAGTCATAAGAAATAACATAACATACAATTGTTCAGAGTTTTTTGATCAAATACAAAATGAAAAACATTTATTAAACGCCGTGAAAAATGCCGCTAAATATAAATTTAAAAGTTTACAATAGTTTATTTATAATAGTTATTATAATAATTTATAAGTTTATAATATTAAAGTTTAACATAATGTAATACTAATATTATTAATTTTTTTATTTTAACGTATGTAATTAATTATATTATTCGTCATTTTATTATATTAATATTAAAAAATGATGACCTTTTTTTTTTTTTTTTTGTACACTTGGGCCGGTATTTTTTAATTCCAAAGTTGGCAACCCTACGCAGAAATCAGAATTTATTACAGAATACATATTTTTATTCAATGCTGAAATAAGGCATAAGCTGAATGCAGTGAACCTTATCTTGTACGTTTCCGATAAGGAACTATAGTCTAGAATTTGTTTTCTGTTCCATGACGAAATATATTGTTCCATCGTTTCATCCACCGTGGTTGTTCCGAGTTTCCGACGAATAAAAAACAACACATAAAATTTTAAACAACATAACCTGAAAGAAATCTACCACTATTCGGTTCTTTTACTTTCACGTACACGTTTTCGCGAGTGTGTTCCTTAGGACGCTTTTTTTTTTTAAAACCAAAACCCAAAGTAAGTACAACTTTTTCATATTGTTCGAATTAAACGAATACTATTATCCGCCATAAGGTTTGTACCGTTTTGGTGCTTATTCGCGTCTCGGATCGTTCATGATCCTTCGTAGTTCGTACCCAAAATCCAACCATACGTCGGATCTGCATTTCGTTATAGATCTACCCATCTTTCTCTCTCGATTGATCAATCCACTATCCAGACAGTATTGATCGTTAACCAACTGGACGTCATCGTGCCACTGTATTTTTGGTTCGTAAAGCGAACGTCTTGTGGGTATTGGGATTGGCTTGACTAGATTGACCAAATCAAACGTCGTCGACAATTCTGCGACGGCGATAGCATTAAGTCCCTATGCAGGGTCCACATCAATGCGATTGACTATTGCAATTTGCAAGGGCCTGTGGACTAGTTGACCGAAAAGCTCAGCGACCCATCATGACGAGTGGAATGTCTTGTTTGGATTTGTGTTTAATTTGCACCTCATGATCGTACCGTTTGATTCTAACCGTCCCCGCTTTGAACTCTTGTTTATTATTTTATTTATCTATTTACATAATGCACTGATGACATTATACCGCCCCAGACTGAATATCATGTTGAAGGTTTGGTCTGAGCATTCTTCCAATATGTTAAATAAAATAACATTTTTTGAGTACTAGAATAATATAACTAGGCATATTTTGTTTTAGTTTAACAATTAACGTTTATTATTTAGAATTCAAATTAACGTTTGAAGTACTGACATGTTTTTCTTTGTTTATATAAAATCCTTTATTGAATTGCTTAGGTTCCTATACTTAGATTTTTTTGTTACAGATAATCAAATATGACCAACTCAAAAGGTTATAGACATGGAACTAGGGACTTGTTTTCCAGAAGATTCCGTAGGCATGGAGTCATTCCTTTGTCAACATACATGAAAGTGTATAAGGTTGGCGATCGAGTTGATATCAAGGTAAACATTTTATTGAATTATTATAGGTGTTTAGTATAATTTAAATTGTTTTGTTTTGGCTTAATGAATGTGTTATATTTTTAGGGAAATGGAGCAGTACAAAAGGGTATGCCTTACAAAGTCTATCACGGTAAAACAGGACGAGTATTCAATGTATCTAAACACGCTCTTGGAGTAATTGTTAATAAAAGAGTCCGCAACCGTATTATTGCAAAGAGGTAAACAATTTTTTTAAAGTTAATTCACTTCTTAAATTGTATGAACACAAATGTTATTGTTTAATGTTTGCTAAATGTATAGTTCAAAGTCCTTACAAAGAATACCTATTGCAAACATATATCTGTGAAACTGCTATGGCATTTTGTATTTATGAATCGAACACTTAGTTTTAGAAAAGTATTTTGGTTTACATTCCTCAATGAATCACTATATTTAATATAATTTTACTTTAAAACAACAATTAACTTTTAAATTAAATTATTTCATGATGATTTTTTACCTCCCTAGACTGAATCTCATGTTGAAGGGTTGATGTGAGTAATTCTAAATTAAAGAATTGCTTTAACTACACTAGGTAGGTTATACTGACATCGCATAATCTATTTAAAAAATACCTTATCTATTTATTGAGATGCCATAGGTAGCCATTAACATTTTATGATGACATTATACCGCCCCAGTCTGAAACTAATGCTGAAGGTTTGATCTGAATGGAAATTTACATTTTTCTCTAAAATATAATAAACATAAATAGAGAATGTTTAGTTCAAGGATTGTGTATGTGTTTATAAAATAAAACTTAACCTACTATTAATTATAATAAAAAATAAAAATATAATATGATGACTTTATACCGCCCCAGACTGAATCTCCTGTTGAAGGTTTGAACTGAATATTTTTCTCAAAAAATTATAAGTACCTTCTTTACTAAATTACACAATGTATGGGTTAATAATACAAAGCGTATTGTTAATTTAGAGCTGTCTCCATCTTACAAGTGCTTAACATAACAAATTTACGATTGGCAGATCACGTTTATCTCCGTTACTTTAAATTTACAGTGAACCGACCTTTTATGAAACTTGATGGTAAGAATATTATCCGTGTTTGTATTTGGGTTTTTACGATAGTTCAATTCTGTAGCAAGTTATGCGTGCATAATATGGTGTAAATTAAAAATGCTCATAACTCATTTAGAAACAGAATTATCGTAAGAAACCCACATACAGACACAAATAATGTTCTTACCATCGAGTTTCATAAAGGGTCAATTCACTCTAATTTTTAAACTATCGAAGCTCAACTTTATCTTGTGAGGGTAATTTGGTATGTTACGCAATTGTGAGATAGTGAAAGCAGATATCTGTGTTACGTCCTCTTAAGATAAAAGTTTTATTATGATGACCTTATACCGTCCCAGACTGAATCTTATGTTGAAGGTTTGATCCGAGTAGTTCTAAGAGAAAAATGTTTTTTATTTTTTATTTTAATAATCTATATTATATTGTGATGAAGTCTATTTAAGCTATTGAGGAACAACTAAAATCTGAACATTTTATGATGACATTATACCGCCCCAGTCTGAAACTCATGTTGAAGGTTTGATCTGAATGTCAATTTTAAGTTTTCCTCCAAAAATTATGATGAATTGTAAAGAATGTTAAATACAAGGATTGTTTATGTGTTTCTAAATTAATATTAAGAAATGTGAATTTAATGAAATATGTTGACTTTTAAATTTTAATCCCCCAGACTGAATCTCTTGTTGAAGGTTTGATCTGAGTAGTTATTCAATTCAAGGTTTTTATTTATTATTTATTTTAATTAATCTTTATAGTATTATACTTATTAAGCTTAAATCTATTAGAGCCATAGAGGACCATGTAAAATTCTGAACATTTCATGATGACATTATACCGCCCCAGTCTGAAACTCATGCTGAAGGTTTGATCTGAAAGTCATTAATGTATAATTTTTAATTTAAGTTTCCCTCTAAAAATGTTAAATGTTCATGAAGATTGCTTAATACAAGCATTGTATATATGTTTATAAAATAATGCTTATAATTATTAAAAAATGAAAATATAATATGATGACTTTAATACCGCCCCAGACTGAATCTCTTGTTGAAGGTTTGATCTGAATATTTTTCTCTAAACATTATAAGATAAAATAAAAAATTATAATAAAATATATAGATTATAATAATATATAGATTATATATATTATAAAATAAATATAACTTAATAACTTAAAATGATGACTCTATACCGCCCCAGTCTGAATCTCATGTTGAAGGTTTGATCTGAGTAGTTATTCAATTCAAGATTTTTATTTATTATCTTTTTTAAAAGTGATTTCAAATAATCGATATACATATTAAAATAAAATCTATCTGAGCCCTAGAGGACCATGTAAAATTCGGAACATTTCATGATGACATTATACCGCCCCAGTCTGAAACTCATGCTGAAGGTTTGATCTGAATATTTTTCTCTACAACTTTTAAGTACTTAACTGAATTATAATGTATGTGTTAATAAAACAATGCTTTAATTAAGTAAAAAAAAAAAAAAAAATAATATAAAAGTTTAATTTGATATGACCTGAAAAAATGCTAATATGGTGACCTTATACCGCCCCAGACTGAATCTCATGCTGAAGGTTTGACCTGAATGTATTTAATTTTACCTCTAACAAGTTGATGGTATACAAGATATATGTTTATAAAAAGTGAATTTTGTACCTATTAGGTTAGGTGGTTTTTTTTTATATTAAACAATCATGTAAACTATAGAACCTTCACAATTAAATTATATAAAATATGCAATTTTACATACATATTTGTTTAACTATAAATAATTTTAAGATTAAATAGTTAGTTAAGTCTTAAAGTAACATTAATTTATGTTGATTGGGAGTTTGATTTATAATATACTTTATTTCCAATATTTGGGAACTTAACATTGTAGAGGTCATATTCTGTGCTTGTCTAACCCTATCCACCCACACTAAATCTGTCAACTGTTCACCAGACTAGTAGTCTTAATTATTTTTAATTGGTAGGGATTCAACTGGCTCAGTTCACTTTCTGATCTCCCTATATCTAGTTGAGTTTCCATCTATCTATAATTTATATTTATTGATCCTTATCTGTTTTTATAAAACAGTAAATAGAAATATAACAGGATGACTTAATACTCAAGATTTTTTTTGATTTTATTAGCAATTTGGTTTTTCCATAATATATAAATAATAATCCAATTGCAGTTTAATAAAAACCTGTTAAATACTGAACTAATAATGATGACATTATACCGCCCCAGTCTGAATCTCATGCTGAAGGTTTGATCTGAATGTTCATTATTATATAAGTTTTCCTCTTTTATTTAAAACCTATTCTGAATGATATTTACAAAATGTATAGTGATTTTCAATATTTTAAAATGATTAATTAATCTAATTAGGTAATACATTATTTACAACGTCTGACTCGCGTGTCTTGTTGCCATTTTAAAATTATATAACGTAGACAATTTACCTTTAGAAGTTCTCATTTAGCTTTGTTAGTTTTAATATTAAAATTAATTTATCTATTATTAAATTTAAAGGTAAAAACATTTGTTATGGTTTGTTGGAAATGTGTTTTTATAGTTTTGACTTTGAATTGAGTTATGAGCATTTTAAATTGTAATATTCTGCACACTTTTAATTTATTTCAAAATTAAAATATTGAAAAAAAATATATTTCCGACAACACAGAAAATGTTACTTTTCATTTTATTTATTCTTTAGATAATTATATATTATGGACTTGTAAAACTATACATGCGGGTCACACGTTATTTGAAGTATAAGTATATAACATGATGACATTATACCGCCCCAGACTGAATATCATGTTGAAGGTTTGATCTGAGTAACTATCAATATTGTGACATTTATTTTTGTATGTTAATTAATGATATTATAAGTTAACTGTTTGAAATAATATATATACAATATTTGGCAATGTATTATATGATTCTAGGTTGATGATTCTACTATAATAAGTTAGTTTCATTGAGTTAAATAATATCAATAGTCTATATTCAATTGAGTTTTATTCTGTTAAATAATTAGAATACAATAAAATAAGTAGGTTTTGGGGATTATTTTTATTTATAATTTAAATAATTCAAAGTTGCTTGGGTGCTGTTGACGTTAGGTAACTGGGTAAACTTGACATTTCTTGACCATTAAATATTATCAATCACATTAAATGAGGTAATAACATGTTTCTTAAGTTAGGAATAATTTTGATCTAATACTGAACAAATAGTGATGACATTATACCGCCCCAGACTGAATGCCATGTTGAAGGTTTGATCTGAATATTTGTCAACTCGAAATTTTATAAATTACAATATTATGCACCTAATAATATTTTTATAAATCAAATATCAATTGTAATGTAATACATAATATGATGATTTTATACCGCCCCAGACTGAATATCATGTTGAAGGTTTGATCTGAGTAACTATAATTATTGTGACATTTATTATTGTATGTTAATTAATGATATAAGTTAACTGTTTGAAATAATATATATACAATATTTTGCAACGTATTATATGATCCTAGGTTGATGATTTTATTATAATAAGTTAGTTTTATTGAGTTAAGTAATAGCAATAGTCTATATTCTATTGAGTTGTATTCTGTTAAATAATTAGAATATAATAAAATAAGTAGGTTTTTGGGATTATTTTTATGTATAATTTAAATTATTCAAAGTTGCTTGGGTCCTGTTGACATTAGGTAACTGGGTAAACTTGGCATTTCTCGACCATTAAATATTATCCATCACATTAAATGAGGTAATAACATGTTTCTTAAGTTTGGAATAATTTTGATCTAATACTGAACAAATAGTGATGACATTATACCGCCCCAGACTGAATGCCATGTTGAAGGTTTGATCTGAATATTTGTCAACTTAAGATATTATAAATTACAATATTATGTGTCTAATAATAATAAAAACATGATAATATTTTTATAAATCAAACATCAATTGTAATGTAATGCATAATATGATGATTTTATACCGCCCCAGACTGAATATCATGTTGAAGGTTTGATCTGAGCATTCTTTTATAATGTTGAATAATATTGTATTATTAATACAGATTCAGCTTTATATTCATTTTAAATAATGTATTGCAATATTAAATAAATATATATTAATTATATTTTATCTGTCCCATTATTATTTCTACCATCCTAAACTTAGTGTTGTATTGTAAGTTAAATGTGATTAAAATATGTCCTTAGTACATCTATTGTATTCATTGTTATGATGATTATATACCGCCCCAGACTGAATGTCATGTTGAAGGTTTAATCTGAACGTTTTTGTATGTTAAATTTTGATAGGTGAAAATGTGTGATTGCAAAATATATTATCCTAACATATTTATGTAATTTTTTAATTGATAATAACTAGAAACACTGAAAGAATATTTTAGTATAATGATTTAAACTTTAGATAAGGAATCATAATATGTACCTATGCATAGTGTATACATTTTTAAAAATGATTGCAGGGGGAAAGCTTTGACGTTTATATACACTTTTACCACCAATATTTTTTCTTTATTTTATAGGGTATTATAAACCGATGTATGTATTATAATATATCATACTTATTTAGGATGTATTTTTTTACATTATTGTTAAAAATGAGACATAAATATAACAACGTCATTGTTCAAAAATGTATATTGTTTTCAATTTTCCATTCTTAATTGTCTCCGAGCAGCTAGTCGGCATATTCTCAATTCGCTCTTTAAAGTATTGATCATTGTTTTGTTCTTTCAGTATGATTTACAATATATTTATAACATGTTATACTTTGAAAAATAATTTAATAACTAATTTATATCTTTTATATTTAATTGTAGTTTTAATGTTAATTCAACCCAACAAAATATAATAACTGTTTTGATACTATTAGACCTAAATTCTCGATGTAAATAATAGTTGTATCTCAATGGCCTTTGGTCGCCCAGATGAATACTTTTCTTGTAATGCATCTCATAGTTTTGTAGGTTTCCCTATAAATAGGAAATTACTTACAGTAGATATCTCATACATCCAAAATTGTCAAAATTGGCTGATAAATGTTTGTAATTGAATGAATATCTAAATCTATACATCAAATACTTGAAATAAATATAAACAACGATAAAATAGATTTGTTTTATTTTAATTTTTTAGAATTAACATTCGTATTGAACATGTCAACCCATCAAAATGCCGAGATGATTTCATGAAACGTGTTAAAGAAAATGAAGATAAAGTTGCCGATGCTAAAAAGAAGGGAATCCGAGTGTGCCTTAAACGCAAAGTGAGTTTAAAGTTAATTTTGCAGTAAAGGTTAATTTACATTGTGTTTAGATAATACAATTTATTTTTATTTTTTTTATTAATTAACCAGTGGCAACATAGGCCATTCGGTGGTAATTTTCAGTAGGTTTTATTTTAACTTTGGGGTAGGGTATGATTGGTTAGAACACGTGTGTGTGTGTGTGTGTATATGTGGCAAGGATTTTTCACTAGAACCTGGGTGGTCACCCATCCGGGAACTAGAGGTACTGACTGATGCTTGACTCAAGAACACATTTTTGTGACTAAATACAACCAGGCCACATTTATTTTATTGTGATGTAGGTATTGCTTTTATTGTTATGAACATTTTTAGATTTTGAAAATAGTAATGAATGCTATTAGTTCAACCTTTTTTTTTGTCTTCCTATTTGTATTTTTGTATTATCATTGTGCCATATAATACGTGCTTTAATAGTTCTGTGGTTTAGATTCCTAATACAGTACATTTTCATAAGATATTTATGAATTTTTAGCTTGAGAACTCTAAATTTGCCTTGATATTCTTAAATGTTGATATAATTTGATAGTAAATTGAAAAAAGGCAATTTGTACATATTTGTATATTATTATACCTATTTATGGAAATATATGTATGTAGGCCAAAATTAATAAAAGTTAACTAAGAGTAGATAAAATGATAAAGATAAAAAAATCAGTGCATTATTTCGGTACAAAAAGTAATTCAAATTTCTAATATAATATCATCTTAAATATTTTAGAAAATAGAAATAAGTAGGTACCCAATTATTAAAAAAAGATTTTTCTTGATAACATAGGATTAATTATTCACAATAAACTAATTTTTAATTTATAGTATTATGCATCCATTAATATTCTATTTAAAAAAGAAAGTAAATTATTAACGTAATAAATACATGTATGAATGAGTGAATATTTGTACTTTTTTTTTTTAAAACTTGTTAATTATTGACTAAGTGATTTTGAATATTCTACCTACAACAGATATTTTCATTTTAATTTTTAAATTTAAATCCCACATTTTATGAAAGGTAGAAATTAAAAATTGAAACCGAAGACTTTTTTGGTGTACGTTTTTATAGATTTATTTAAACTGAATATTATTTGAATAAATTGTAACGATAAGTAGCTAATAATTGTAAAATTATTGGTGAGATGTGTTTGCTTAGAAATATTTTATCTACGTTATTGCTTTATATTTTTACTATAGATTAATAGTTTCAAAAGCAATGAGTTTAAATTAATTTCGTCAGAACTTTTCCATGAAGCTATACAGTAAATTGTATAGACCATATAGACAAAAGGATACAAATGTAATTGGTAGGGTACTAGGGTCATAAATGTAACGCTATCAATAATTAAATAATGGTTTTTTTCTATTCTTCGCGATAATTTATGAAAATGATCGCGAAGTTATAAGTATACCATTTACATTTTTATGAACATAGGTACTAACGTTTTATTAAAATATCATTATGATTATGTATTTAATGTGTTCAATTTGTTTTCAGCCTCAAGGACCCCGACCAGGTCACATAGTAAGAGGAACGGATCCAATCAGTTTAGCTCCTCTACCTTATGAATTCATTGCTTAATTGCTGTTTTAAATATAAATGTCGATTAAAACACATTTTATCGTTTTTTTTTTTTCAATTATTAAATTCTTGTTTGACACTTCCTATTAATAATGTTTCGGTGGTCCGTGTAAACAAATCCTCCTCTCCTATAACCATCTGAAAGGATTCCGGCATTGAAAAGCATCAGTAAGCCGACTTCGGTTCCATTCAACTTTTATCCCTGTAGTTAAATCCTTTCCCAGTATTCCTACAAACCGAGATTTCCCTCGTTATCGTGTAAAACTGTCGAGATCTAACATGTAACATGAAATCGTGTACATGGCGAACGATGCGCTATTATGCAGGATTCTTTACAAACATAGCAGTGCAGACGTGCTCTAAAGTTGCACAACATTTTTTGCTCTTTATATAAGTGTTCGCTGGTAAAATCTATTTAGGATTTTACGCTTTTTAGTCATTATCTCGTGTGGTTTTTTTTATTTGTACACGATTCTCGTGTATTACATATAAATATACGGTCGTTTTTGAACAGACGCAATTTAATTATTCTGTTTAAAGACCGTCTGTCTGGTGGCCTTAACGTCTAATTCGTCAATTATTATTATTAGACGTGAAATCGATTCGATTTGTTTGTGTTTAGATTCCCGGCTACAATTTGACACGTTATTAGTAAGTATTATAATTAAAATGTATTCGTCCTTAAAATTTATTTAAAGTTGTCAAGGAACATTTGACCATCAACATTGTGCAACCCCCGATTTGTATTAGAATAACGCCTATGGTATACGTAATAATATCTATCTTCATTCTTGAATTCTTCAGTGTCTAAAAGATATAGTGTCTGGATGGATATTTGATGTAAACGATGATTGATGATAAAAGATCGATAGAAAAAACACAACACGCACCTATAAACTTTTAAGATTCAAACAACAGTGTCAGAAACTTGGATAGTTCAAGTTTTATCCAAAAATTGTTTTCGGAGAAAGTTTTTCTATACCCGTGTAAAATGACCAAAAATTAGAATATTGAAAAGTTCGTTTTGTGTAATTAATATTTCAATGTGATTAGATTTATTTGTTATTTACCTATTTATTTTAATACCAAATGTATGTTAACCATCTAATTTGATGTATTTAAATTGCGTTGTTATGAATATGGCTTTGGCGTAATAATTAATTATTTCAAAATTGTAAATACATAACAACAATAGACATATATATATATATATATTAGGGTATAATTTAATTAAAATAGAAGTAATAACTATATTAAATATAATGAATGAAAAATAGGAGCTACTAGTTATTTATTGTAGGATTTAGATAGGTACCTACTCTGTTTATACTTTAGAAAAGTAAAAATAATATAATTATTTCTATCGAAATTATATTATCAGTGTTTTATTTTTATTAGTTAGTACAAAGGAATAGGTTATAGGTATATTATAAACTAAAATTTTTAAATTCTAATTTTTTTTTTTGCTTTTGTTTTTCAAGGCAATCGTTTTTTACAATCTACAAAAGTTTAAAATTATTTTAATGAAGAAACGGAAATAACGGTTATTTGACTAATCGTGACTCGTGCATGAAATGTTTTATCGTGTTGGTATTTATTATGTCATTTTATTCATATCACAAAGTGCACTACTAATGTTAAAAACATTTGATGAAAATCTCAATTGTATAGTTAGTTGACAAACAACATAATTAGATTGTCGTTTATTGTTGCTAAAGAAATTCCATATTTATTAATGATGTGCTGCAAGTTAATCAGACTGTAGCTAAGAAATAAAATTGTGTCAAAAAAGAGTAAGTAGGTTAACAAACACAATATGGCTTAAATGAGTTTGAAGTAAAACGAAGTTTTTAAGTCAATTTTCTTGTTATTTTGTGTCTGATAAATGAGCAAGCAACAGTGCCACTTAAAACTAATTTAACTATAATAAGACAGGTACCCTAAAAGTTTTGGTAACATGAAACAGAAAAAATGTGGGCTTAATATTTTTTTTTAATATTCAATTTGGCTGAAAAATAAATTACAGGGAAATTTAAAATAATAAAAGATTTTATATTTTATTTATTTTTTCCATATAAAAATAAAACAATTTAATATTATTAGCTGCTGACGGAAATTACTAGTAATATACTAATACGTATGTAGGTATAGTACGGTGGTATTACCGAAATCGAGTCCCTGTGATTGTTTTTTGTTATACCCATTTTATGTTAGAAAAATAGTTACTTTTGAGTTATTTTAAATTTTTATTAGCTTTTAATATTATAGCTCAACACGTTATAAACCTGTATTATAAAATCTGAGTTTTATATTATATGTTACGTGCCATCGTAATCAATATAATATATTAATATGCGTATTGAGTAGGTGTTGCAAAAATGCAACCGTCTTAGTAACATTTCCATCAGTAACGGGGAAGACATAGGGTTGCCAACTTTGGAATTAAAAAATACCGGCCCAAGTGTACAAAAAAAAAAAAAAAAAGGTCATCATTTTTTAATATTAATATAATAAAATGACGAATAATATAATTAATTACATACGTTAAAATAAAAAAATTAATAATATTAGTATTACATTATGTTAAACTTTAATATTATAAACTTATAAATTATTATAATAACTATTATAAATAAACTATTGTAAACTTTTAAATTTATATTTAGCGGCATTTTTCACGGCGTTTAATAAATGTTTTTCATTTTGTATTTGATCAAAAAACTCTGAACAATTGTATGTTATGTTATTTCTTATGACTAGTTCGGCTTTAACTGTATCAATTCCTAATCGATTGCGCTCATCTGTCCACAAACTATTCATGTGGCTAAAAACGCGTTCAACAAATGCATTGCTACACGGCACCGAGAATACATACTGTACAATTTGTTTAATATTTTTTAATTGTGCAGTAGATGATTGGAAAAATTTTACCCATTTTTCCGAACTAGTGAATTCTGTGTTATTTAGGATATCATTTGGTAATAACTTTATCAAATTAAGCTCTTCATACAGTTCATCTCCATTGACATGAACCTTAATTAATTTGGCCAGATCGAGTAAATCTGTTAATTTAGGTAATTCACTTAATTTCAAACACGAAAACATTTTGAATGGAGAGTTTTCATAATCAAACCATTTTTCGAGGTATTCTAATGCACGTTTGTAAGTATGTAGAGCATCAGATTTAAATGCATCGTTTTCTTTGCTAGTAAGATTAGGTAATCGTGTAGTTACTGCAATTCCAAAGAAATTATCATTTTTACGATTTAAAATTTGAGATCTTAAACTTAACATTACATCATAGACTTCTGGAGCGTTTAAATTATTTTTTTCTAATATTAAAATATGTTTTTGAAAAATGGACAACACATGATGAACAAACCAAATGTAACATTCTCTTAAAGTTAACTGTTCAGAAAGTTCATTTTTCTGATCTTCAATAAATGTCCATATGATTTTATCACATTCATTTTTTCCTTTTTTTATAAAATAAGTTTTAATTGCATTCCAATTTAAAATTAATCGGTCCACGGCATTAAACAAACTCAGCCATCTCACCGGAATATGTCGCAATACATTATGATAGTCCTGTTGTACAAATTCGAAACATTCTTTAAGTTCATCTACTCTTTTGGAGCTCATAGAAAATTCATTAAAAACTTTTAATACCAACGTTTCTACATCGTATTTTATAACTTTCATGGAATGCTTTGCTGCGTTATGAATCACATGACAGTTACAATTAGCTTTAATTATATTGGATTTTTTATTTTTTAATTTTTCGAAGACCGAACAATGTTTTCCATAATTAACAGAGGCATTATCGGCACCAAAAGCTGTTATATTTTTTATATCTAAGCCAAGAGATTCAATTGCAGAAGTAATCGTGTCAAAAATTGACTGTGAAGATTCGTTTGGTTCCTCGTAAAAGTCTAAAAGGTAATCTTTCACTCCGTCTTCAAAATTAAATAACCTAACCGCTAATGGAAAAAATTTTCTATTTCCCTTATTTGAAGCGTCTGTAGATATAGAAAAGGGAATAGGAGTAGGACATTTGAGTTTTATTACTGCTTTTTCAATAGCGAACGGACATAGTACATTTTTGACGATAGCTTCCATTTTCGTTCTACCCAGGTGGACTTTATTAGCTATCGTTGAATCTGAGAAATGTTTCGACTCTAATTTTACTCCACAATCGCTGGAAAGATAGCTATGATGGTGTTTAACTACATGAAAACACTTACTCAGTTCAACGGCTGCTATTTTGTCTTCATCTTTATCATTCTTTGTAGGAAAAAACTTTTTTATAGTGGACGATTTATTTATAGAATTGACGGATTCTTCATGTTTTTTTGATTCTTGATGTGTTTTTACAGCTTTAACGCCATCATACTTAACACTAAAAACTGTCTGACATAATATACATCGTGCTTTATTAGGGTTATTGTGTTTAGCGATCCAATCAGAAAATATTTGATCTTTTAACCATTCATCGTTAAAAACACAATTACGAATTCTTTTTTTCGTTTCATTTTCGTTCATTTTAAAAATGCGTATAATTTTTCAATCAAGTATATACAATGTAAAATTAATAGGTACTACCGAACAGTCCGAACAGAATAACGAAACTAAACTCTATTATGAATCGTCTATCACATATTCACCAACGAGAACGGCATAATAGGAACAACTAACAAGGTACATACTAATCATAGTACTCATAAAAATGTCAAAAAGGACGATAGATATCTGAAGTCATTAAGATAGGTATACGATTTATTGACAGTAACATGTGATAATCAATTTCATAAAAATGATAAAATATTAATATATAATATCAAAACTCTCGATCAGGTGGAATTACTGGGTTTTTATAATTTTACAATATTATTACTTTGAAAATACCGGCTTTTTATAGGTCAATACCGGCAACCGGCTTTTTAAGTCTAAATATGTGAAATACCGGCCGGGCCGGGAAAATACCGGCCGGTTGGCAACCC